AAGAGCACCAAATTGTTACTGAGGATTGGGAACTTTTTTTTTTTTTTTACTGAGAATGGAGGGCAGCTGCAATGTCTTCTCTTTCAAAACTGAATATGAGATACAGAGGCCACAATTAAATGCAAAAACATAAATTACATTTTTCCTTGTTTTAATGTGAGATTTGCACTTAACTGGAAAGAGTGAATGCTACATTCTCTCTACACAATTGCTAGTATCTTTGCTGCAGGGACAATGGTTGGTTGGACTGTGAAGCTTTGCCAGAAGTATCTTAAGAGAAAGGCTGCCAGAAGATAGGAAAGAGCCAAGCAGGAGAATGCAGAGAACTCTTGACCACTCATTACTAACATGCAACACTTGGCCTTGTAGCTCTGCACTGAGCAACAGGAACTGCCACGCTTTTTCCAGGAACAGCCAGTGGCAGATGGTGAGAGATGAAGAAAAAGTGCACGTGCACAAACATCTTGGCTTGGTGTATCCTGTGTATCCTCCTGGCTTTGGGAATCAGTGTGGAAAAGGCTCTGGGAAAACCCAGAAGTTTCATTTACAGTATTGTAAACTGTATTTATTTGCTGTTGATCACACTGTCCATGAATTTGTGTGATGTCTTTTAAAATCCATTTTTAGCCTCCGCAATCTCTTGAAGCAATGACTGCCACTGTGTAATGATGGGCTGCACCAAAGAGTGCTTTCTTTTGGGTGTGTTGGTTTTAAACCTGCTGCGTAATGACTTTGTTGGATGCTCCTTCAGCTTTTATACTAGAAGAGAAAGCAAACAGTTACACTGCATCTCCCATCTCCATTCAGGATTTTATAGACTGCTATCACTTCTCTCTGCAGTCATTTTTTTTTTTCCAACCTGAAGAGCTTTTGCCTATTTAATTTCTTCTTGTATTGAAGCTGTTCTGTACCTCAAAAAGATAAATGTAGACTTCTTATTACTGCTCTTTCTTCTTTCTCTCAGGTAGAAGTGCTGAGGAAACCTTATACAGGAATACCATATTAAAAGATAGTTTGGTCCCTCTTTGTGCTAAAATAATTAGCCTTCAGCTCCTAGAAGTTGCCAAAAGTTTCTGAAAGGAAGAGAAAGCTGCTCTTTATACCTCTCCAGTTTGAGGTTGCATTCATGTCCTAAAGTAGATAAGAGCACACGGCAAGTAAACAGGAGAAGTGTCTGGATTTGAAGTCCTCTTAACTGCCAACAAACCTTCAAGCTTAATACGCAGAATTTGATTGAGTGCAAGGATGTGACAAAATTGGGACCTGAGAGATCAGGAAGTTCAGTAAGGCTGTACTGAGCAACGTCAGCAGAGCTAAACAGGAACAGAGAGCAGAATGTGTGGGTTGTTGGCTTTTTTCTTTTTGTTTGTTTTTTTCTTTGTGGCTTTTTTTTCCCTCCCCTTTTAGTTCAGAGTCAGTGCTGCATCTTCTGACACGGTAAATCTTAAGAGAAAGAGAAGGAGATAAAAAATTAAATAAAAAGTTGCTCTCTTCTCTATCTGGCATAAATATCTTATATATCTTCCCATCTGGCATAAATATCCAGTTTGAGAAAGGCAAATGCAGGTGTCTTCAGACTCATGGGAAAGCATCTGCTAGGAACACCTTGCTGTCCTTTCATTCTGGCAGATTTACAGTATTCCACCTTGTGCCTTTTGTTGTGTGTGTCCCACTGCATCAGGTTCAAGCTCTTCAAAACTCTGCACACCTTTGCTGCCGTGTCTCAGTTCTGTGAGTTTCCCGTGTGGTCTGTGCTGCTGGCAGTCCTGCTGCACCTCACTGCCTGCTCCTGCCATCTCCTTTCATCGTGTCACCCTGTGCGTGGAGCTGGTCTAACAAGACAAAGGTTTTATCTCTGATTATGCTTTTACTGGAAACTTGTTCCAAACACCTACCGGATACTTAAGGAGGTGAGCCTTTCCCTCCTCTTCCTTGGTTATCTAAAATAAAACTGATTATTGACTAATTAAGAACCTTTGTTTTGTTCTCCTGTACACTTGCTTTTTGCTGAGTTTCCTTCTAACGCCAGCAGTGCTTCTTGGGCCTTTCTCTCCTGTCCCGCCTTGTTGTTTTGTTACCACCCACTCATTAGATCATGTCTGAAATTAGCTTGAGAGAACTACAGGGCAGGGTTGATTTCTTGTCTTTTTACTGAGGGCTTGGCACAGTTTTGAGTGGCTTTCAGACTGGGGGCAGGGTGAGGAGTGATAGCAGCAAAATAAGTCATTGTGCAGCTTGGGGAAACCAAGGCAGGAAGGCCAGGTAGCTGCAGAAGATGCTGGTTGAAGGTCTGTAGGAGGAACAGTAGGAGCTTATGTAGCACTAAAGCTTGTGCTTTGTGTAGATAATCCTCTGTTTCTTTAGCCATCTTCTGTGAAAAACAGTCATTTGGATAAAATTCTGAACTCTTCTGGGGAAAAAATAACATTTTCTAAATGCCTTGTATTTTACCATCAGCATTTTCGTTACACAGTGTTTTCTGTAGTAGCTTTGTGTTGTTTTTGTTTGTTTGCTTTGTTGTAGTTTTGTTTTCTTGACAACTAAATAATGATAAATGTATTGAGGCCATTAAAAAATTCAATTTCAGCAAGGTGAAAATGATGACCTATTAAAGTGATGTTTTTTCTGAGACACCACCTTGTGCCCCATCTCTGTGCTGGCTGGGGATAGTGGGTGTTCCCCTGTGGACTGAAATGATGCTGAGGGCTGAAGAGTGACTCACAGACCAAAAGCAGAGTCATGGGTATGTACAGAATTTGGGGCTCCCTGAGACTTGCAGTGGGCTTGGTGTGCTTTGGATCAGGTGCAGGCAGGATGTGGAATGCACCATCAGGTAAACTTTCTCTGTTGGAGATACTTTTGAAAGCTGTAAGGGGTAACTTCTCTTGCAGGCAAGACGTGCAAAGATGATATAGTAGAAAGCCATAACTGTGTCCAGGAATGAAACAGGTGTGGCTTTACCTTTATGGTAAAGTCTCTCAGTTCAGAGTAGATCCCCAGCCTATGTGAGTGTTCTTTGTCTATCTTGTATTTTGCCTCGTAGAATGTAATAAAAAACAAATCTTGTTATTTTGCACGTTCATGTAGTTCATATTGCTGCTTTCCACATGGGTACTACTCCAGGTTTATATATATATATTTTTTAATATAATGCCTTTCACCCAAAGATTCTCAAGCTGCTTTGGCCCAGTTCCCAGGTACAGCTTAGCAACATTTAGCATAAGACCAGTAAAAGGAAGTAACGGGGAATTTCTCACAGTTCTTGGCTGGCTGTCAATTCAAAGGCACCTACAGGTCAGAGCATCCCCAGGGCTCCTCCAGCCTCTGAGCCCCTGCTTGTTGTGGCTGTGACTGCCTGCTACACACAGCTCCTGCCTCAGGCCACCAGAAATCCTTCTGTTCTTTTCTCTGTTGTCTCCCAGCATGCATAAGAGATGATAATCTTTGTTGGGAAAACTCAGTGAGATTTGCAGGGTCTTAATCTGATGCTATTTGCAGTTTGATCACAAAGATGCATGGAGCTGAGGCACGTATTTTTGATTTTGTACCTCTCTGCGGATGCATAGATATGTGCAGTATTCTAATTTCTTTTTCTCATCTTCACGTTCACAGTAACTCAATTCTCCAGCTTGCTATACTTACTGTTTCAGTTTCTTTTCCAGTAGTCAGGATGGTTTTTGTTTGTTGTTGCTTTCTGTTATTGCTTCAAACTTTCTGAATGTTGTTTCTTCTCTGGAGGGATTGTTGGACTTTGAAATCAGCTCTCATATGGAGAGCCTCTGGAAGTTTGTTACAGCATGTTTTGCTGTTCAAAGCTTCTCCTCGGAGACATTTTGTCAGAGTTTTGCTTATCTACCACTATTGCAAAACGATCCACCATCTTATGCAATCAATTCACTTCTTCATAGCCTTCTCACTGGTCTTTAAAGCAAAATAGAAATTAAACTGTACCTGCTGTTATGCAGGTAGTGGTGATCTGTCTTTTACCTTTGGACCACAGGCAGTGTCAGCTGTGTTCACGTGGAAACCTTGCAGAGACACTTGGGAGCCCTCTGGACCATGATACTCTTTGGTGGATGCAGCTGGCAGCCCCGTGAGGGCCTGAGAATTGTGCTTTCTTTCCTGAAAGAGCCAAAGACAGGACAGTTCAGTCTGTTTTGTGGAGCTGTGTTTGTGCACTGTTGCTGCCCTGCTGGCAGCAGCTTTCTAGGAATGGCTGTGTGGCAAGGAGTGTAGCTGGAGGTTCACATCTCTCCTCAGTGTGGTTGCAACAGAACTGAAATGCAACCTTGCCCACCTTCCTGGCCTCTGTAATGTACAGCAAAGGCTTAAACTGTGGGTTTGGGGTGGGAGAGAGAGAGAGAGAGAGAGGAAACAATGCTGGCTGGACTCTTCCCCTTCACTAAAAGGCATCTTTTACTGCATGGAAGAGATGACATGACTTAATGAAACTCTCAGATGTTCCTTGAATTATTTTCCTGAGCATAGAGCTTTCTCTTTTGTGGTTAAAAATGACAGTTATAGTGCTGTATTTATGCACAGTCAATAAATCAGCAGAAAATGGGCTGCAGACAGGGCATGTATCTGTTGTCTATTTCTTATACTTCAGCTGAAAATGGAATTTTTGAATTCACTGAAGCCTGTAAAAAGAAATTCAAGTGCCATGAGAGGTTCACACAAAGTCTGAAGGCACACAGTAATGTGGGATTTGCACCTCAGCTTCAGTTACTGTCCTCTACTCTGCAAACCCACACTCTTCAAGTGTTGTAGAAAGCTGACTGACTTTCAAACTGACTTGTCTTTAGTGGAGGGATAACTGAAAGGAAAGTGGAGCAACTGGAGGGGGCAGAAGCCTTTAAGGGCTGAGTTACAGTTTATGGAAGCACGTAGCGTACTTACAAAATCAGAAAGGAAAAAAAAAGTGCTGCAGAGCAATGTCCTGGAACATACTCGTCTACTTTTTGTTGTTGTATTTGTTTTTGTATTTTTTTTCTTTCCAGAAGGGGCTGTGTGACGTAGTGGCAGAAGAAGCCTGTTCTCTTCCACTGTCTCAAGAATGGCAAACTGCTGAGTGGTGAGAGTATTTAGCCCTGATAGAGCACAAAATATCAAAGGTCTCGAATTTGCTCAGCTTCTGCCATCTCAGATACAATTCTCTATACCCCCACTCTGCCATACAGTTACCAGAGCTTTGGAAGGATAAAGTCATTATTTAGCACAAGTTTTTATTTTTAATCTTAGTAGAGATGGAGTGCACACAAATTCATATTGAAATCAAAGATTTCATATTTCCGAAAGGGACAATGTAGATTTATGGCTGGCTAAGTGCTGAACACTTCTAAAATCTCACTATGAATACTGAAACTTTTGTCTGATGTGCTACTACACAAATCCCTTGGCCCTGTGGCAGCTCCTGTTCTGGTTAATGAGGATTATACTTCCCAACTTCCCATGGATTCATTATTGTTTTTACAGTTACTGAACAGTTACCATTTTTGCTCTGGCTTGAAGCTTTTTAAATAAGTCATCAGGGCAGCTGTACTGCAAGACCAAGACAGGGAGCCGGATAAGTGGAAGGAGGTTTGAAGGATTTAGCTGTTGAACCAGATTTTAAATGGATATTTTCTGACTAAGGTATCAAGCACGTCTCAGATTCATATGGCCAAGTGGTGCCAAAGCTGATGTTCTTTGGTGTCCCAAGGAACAGGGCTAGAGTCTCACAGCTATGTTGCTTTTTCAGATAAGAAAGTAGGGGAGAAAAAAAAATAACAGATGAAGCAATACAAAAGGGTTAAGAAGTATTTGTTAAAGCTAAAACCTGTTAGATGCCACAGCTTAGATGTTATGCTGTGTTAGGACAAGAAACAGAAAAATAACTTATTGGCGCAGCAGGAAAATATGCAATTGATCTGTTTGATCATTCTTACAAAATAATGCTTCTTTTTACTGTTTGACAGAGTATCTACACAGGAGTGATTTCAAAATATTTAATTGTAGGGGAGCTTACTCTGCAGTAGCTGTTCTGGTTAATTTCCCCTTAGAGAAAATTTCCTTAATGATCAGAGCTAAAGAAATTAAAATGCGTGTAATTTCAATTGAAAATTAAGAATACTTTGAACTTTATAGATGTAACAAATGTCTGTCACCTTAGTTGCCAAGTAGTCAGCACTGAAAAAGGCAAATTCTGTAGAGTGGTAGTAGTATGGAACTACTTGCTCTTACTGCATTCATGCATGTTAGCAACGGTGGTGTCCATTATTTTCAGTAATAAAAATTAAAAACAAACAAACAAACAAACAAAAAAACCTCTTTAAGTAAATGACTTGTATAATGCCCAGAAAGTTGCTGGACTGTAGCTTTTGTGGTATCCAGCAGGAGCAAGCTCTGAAAGCCAGAATCCTCAAGAGAGGGACAGTATGTGAACCTTGCCTGCTGCTGCCCTTAGAAAGGTCACCCTCTGAAACTGGAAACAGTGTTTTGTCTTGACCTTTAAATATTACCTTTGAATGTGAGAGAACTGGCTTTCAAATTTCAGGCAGTCTGGGTTAAGAAAAAAAAAATCAACATGAAAATGTGAGGGTATGAACTTGTAATTGTTGAGCATTTGACGCAGCCTGGCTCGAGGACACTGTAGGACGTGAGGCCCCTGGATTGCCAGTTTGAATTGGCTGAGATCAGCTGGAATCAAAAGTTAGTCTCTGACTTCATCTGGTTGATGTGAGAGAAATGCATAGGTGGCCTCATCAAGTTCTCAGTGCAGGAACCTAACAGTATTAGCTGGCATCTCCTACCAATAGTTTACTTTCCATTCAGGCCTTAGCAAATCTATTCCTATCTAGGAGCTGTCTTTCCAGACTGACGTGCAGCAGTACAAAAAGTATGGTATCAGCATTTTTGCCTTATCTGTAGAGATTCAAATCCTGTTCCTGCAGTCTGGCTCCATTGATATGCACTAATACTTACATAAAATTATTTATCTGTTTATCCCTCCTGGCATTTCTGCTATGATTGCTAACATTCAGAAACTTTAAACACAGCTGCAGTCACAGATATGTAACTTACAGAGAGGGCCTAGATAATGGAATGGAGAGGCTCCAAGTTTGACAGTACTTGTTTTCAAAATAAGCTGCTTCTCAACTATTAATTAATCCACTTAAAGCACACTACAATTAAATACTTTGATAACGTGATGTGAAAAATATTTGCAGAAGCTTTTAAAACAACCCCCCACGAACCTCTTTCTGCAAACAGCGTGGAGATTTGGCACTCTCTTGTATCCTGATTGTTTCTGTGACCACAAGGAACAAATGCATCCCTGAATTACCTGGGTTTACATCTGATTATTTTGATCAACATGGGTAATGGTATCTTTACCAACCTTTGCATTTTGTAATGCTTTGTAATGGGGATTTTAGCGTTTACCTGCGGTGTTGTGAAATAACTATTGCCCAAGGAGCTTTGAGAAACAGAGCGAGAACTGTGCCTCTGCTTTTTATCTGAACGACGAGAGAGAAAAAATACGCAGAAAGAGCCTTTACATGTAAAAACAGTGGAAAATATTATTAGCTACTTAATTACTGCTAACTAAGATTCATGTTGACAGCACTGCTTTTGTGATTCTTGGATCCAATCCTGGAAGCAAACGAGTAACCGCCAGCAGACAGGCACCGAATGCTGCCCGATGCGCTGCCCATCGCTGGCACTGGGGCTGTGACGGCAGGGCCAGGCTGAGCGGCCTGAGCTGAGGCCTGGTGGTTTTGAATTCCCCCACCTGAGAGGGGAGCAGTGTGGTGTGGGGATGGCGGCGTGTTGGCTGCGGAAGTTTGGCTGCAGTTTGCCCTGCCTTCAGCTGGGTGCCCCACTGGCACGGGGTGGGGTGGGGTGTGGGAGCCCCACGTCCCGCTTTGGAACTCCAGAAGACAACTGTTGCCTGGCCAGAAACCAGCAAATGGAAAAGCTGAGGATTTAGTGCTTAAGTGAAACCTCCAGCGGCCGGGAGCACAGCGGTTATATCACAGGTGATTAGCCCCACTGCTCCACTCCGTGCTCCACGCCTACTCGGGCAGCCAGGGTAGGCCGCGGCGGGCAGGCGTGGGGCGGCGGCGGCGGCGGCTCGGCCCGGGGGAGCGACGTGCGGAGTGAGTGCCGCGGGCCGGAGCCGAGAGCGGGCCGCGAGGCGCCCAGTCGCTGCCCGGAGGTTCCCCCCGCCGCCGGGCCAGGCCGGGCGGGGCAGCCCCTGGGGCGAAGGGCGGGGAACCCCGCAGAGGGGCGGGGCGGGCTGACAGGTGTGCGCGCGCGCAGGGTTCCTCTGGCACCTCCCTCCTCAACCCGCCTCCCTCCTCATGAATATGCAAATATGGGTATAATTCGCAGCCAATGGCGTGCGCGCTGGTCACATGGTGCTGGTGGAACCTCAGGGAAGAGAAGTTGAGTCTCGGCGAACACAGCAGCTCAGTAACGCGCCGCAGCCGGAGCGAGCGGAGCCGGGGCGGGCGGACAGGCGGCGACCGGGGGCGGTGAGCCGCTGCCCGCTCCCTCCTCCCCGCAGGGTGCCCGGCGGGCCGGCGCTCTGCCTGGACCATGCCGATCCTCCTCTTCCTCATAGACACGTCCGCCTCCATGAACCAGCGGGCGTATCTAGGCACCAGCTACCTGGACATTGCCAAGGGCGCCGTGGAGATCTTCATGAAGGTGAGTGCGGGGCCGGGCGCCGCCGCCCTCGTCCGCCCCGTCCGCCCGCTCACGCCGTTTCTCTCCGCTCTCTCCGCAGCTGCGGGCCCGGGACCCGGCCAGCCGCGGCGACAGGTACATGCTGGTTACCTTCGACGAGCCGCCCTACTGCATCAAGGTAACCGAGCCCCCTCCCCGCCGCCCTGCGCCGCCGTCCCGGCCCCGCCGCGGAGCCGCCCGTCGCGCGGAGGCGGCGCGGCGCGGCCCCGGCCGACCCGGCGGCGGCGGCAGCGGCCGGTGAAGATGGCGGACATTTTGCTTTTGTATGGAGGAGAGAGGCTGAGGGCGCTGCTGAGATGGAGGAGGGGGGGGGAGGAGACGTACGCGGCGCGATTCACCGCCCCGCCGCGCTCCGCCTCTCTGGCCGTTGCCCGCCCGCCCGCCCTCCGTAAGGCGGTGGCTCCCGCGGGGCCGCGCCGCACGGCGCCGCCGCGCAGCCCCGAGCGCGGCACGAGGGCGGCCCCGGCAGCGGCCTCGGTCAGCGCGGGGCCGCGCACGGCGGTGCTGCCTCCTCCCGTCTGGCTGCGGCCGCGGGGATGGAGCGAAAGGGGCCGCGTGCCGGGCCTGCCGCGCGGCGGGCTGCGCTGCGCTGCCGGCTGCGCCACGAGGTCGCGGCCGGAGGGAAAGCGGCGGTGAGACCGTTCGGTGGCGCGGCCTCGGCGTCGCGGATGAAAGCGTCAAACTCGCATCTCGAGCGCTCAAAGCGTGCTGCGGAGAACGTCTGTGCTGTGGCGGGGTTAGAATTCTCCTACGCCAACCCCCCGTCAGGGCCGTGGTTACCACAAACAGAGCGGCAGGCACGCAGGAATTGCCGCAAAGGCCGGAGAAAGCCCTGTGCAAACTCGCAGTGGGCTCCTGCCTGCTTCCCCAGCTGGAACTTCCCAAGGAAAAGTTGTGGAAAAAAAGCAGTATTTGATGATTGTGCCCTTGTCCTTTAATGAAGGAACTTATCTCACAATTCCTTCCATCAGCGGTGTATTTACACTGCTAACTTCGCCAGGAAACGGAAAGCTTTTATTGTGGTTCATTTATTATGTTATTTTTACATCTTTGCCCTACATTACTTTTACATCTTGCCCTTTTTTTAGAAGAGGGAACAGAAGTAATCATATTTCTGTGACTGGGAACCATTAGTTTTCTGCTGCAAAAACTTCAGATTTGCCACCACACCTTGGCCTGGCCTGAAAAGTGGCTTTGTATCTTTTTAATCTCTTTAAAAGACATAAGGCACACACGTCTTTTTCCTGATCCGTTTGTGAATGGATGCAAACATCGAGTGGGCACAAACACCAAGTGTCATACAGACCCAGGGAGCTGAATTTCCTGAGTAAAGGTTCTGTCCTAGTTTTGTGTCAAGTGCTTTAAAGGAAGATCTTAAGATTGGGGGAGATACCTTTCCACAGATGGTTATTTATTAAAAGTGACCCTTCTGGTTGGAGAGCTGTGTGATAATGTGGCAGGTTGTTATCACATGCAATGGTCAGATCTGATGGAGAAAATCCTTTTGCTTAAAATAATGCACTAATGAACGTCTGTGTGCTCAGTTCTAGTAATAATGACTGAAACAAACAGGACTGTGTGATACCTGTTGTCCAGTAAGATAATATTTGCAATACAGTAAATAGCTGAGGGGAAAAAAAAAGACACCTTTCAGTTCTTATGCAAATGCCTGACTTTTTTAGATTGTTTCCTTTTAGTATGCTGTCTTTCAGATTGGACCCTAACCTTAAAGCATCATTCTCTGAATGGGCTGCCAATCCAATAAATCAATGCTTACCATAGTTAATAGATTGCTTTCTCCTTTCGTTACATCACCACATCACAGCACCCCAGAAATTGCTATGGTTTGGCTGCCGTTCTGTCTCTCATTCAGCAGAGAGATCTTTACAGCAACACCACCGTGCTGCTCCCAGCTGAAGGCACTTTCTCAGGTCCTTTACCTGTATTTGTGGTGCCCCTCTGTAGTTCTAACAAGTTATTTGAGAAAAACTTCAGTCTGGCCCAGGTTCTGTATGTTGGGGCATCCTAAAAAGCACTTCTAAAAGAAGTAAAGCTTAGTTTCTTTCCTAAAGCTGCTGTAGATGGCGTTTCATTAGCTCTGTTGATTTAGAAGAAGGAAAAACAGAGTTGGCAAGTGAATGTATTTTGCAGGTCTGCTTTCCAAGTACGTGCAGTGGCGGCTGGTTCTGTTCAGTGACCGCTTTATCCTCTTTTTTTCTTTATGTAATTTGATTAGTGTGCATCATAATCTCACAGATAGTTCTTAAGTTTAGCAGTAAAACAACCGAAGGAAATAATCCTGTGGGTTAAATGAGATGAACTGGTTTTGTATAGCTCAGAACTTGTTTACCTGCAGCCTTTGAATATATTAAAACAGCAGTGCTGGTTCATTTTTGGTGGGAAAGCACATCAGGAGAGAGCATCGTGCACGTGGTGGCATTTTGCCTAAACGGAAGGCTTCTGCTACAGCACAAATGGTGTGCTAAAATTTGTGCAGTGAGGTGATGTGTCTGGAACTATCCTCAGCGTGGAAGGTCTGAAGTGCTTTGAGATGTGACAGCGGGAGCGGTTGTGAGAGGAGCCACAGGGCTGCTGTGAGCCCTCCAGTCAGTTCTCTGACATGAGATTGCTCAGTGAGTGGAGTGGCCCTGCGAAGCTTTGGGGTGGCACGTGTCTGAAGGGACAGGTGTCCCAGGAAGGCAGGGGCAGTGAGGTGGAGGGGAAGGGAATCTCTTAAGCACCTTTCACTCGGCAAATGCCTTTGGAGCTGCTTTGCTCTCGCTTGCTGCGTAGCCCCTGGAAGTGCTCAAGGCTGGGCTGGATGGGGCCCCAGGCATCTCGACCTGGTGGGGGGCAGCCAGCTCGTGTGGGGCTTGCAACTGGGCCACCTTTAAGGTGCGTTCTGAACCATCACATTCCACCATGCTGTGATCTGTGGTTGATTCTGTGATCGCGTGTAGGCAGTGATTTATGCTGCGGTCATTTGCAAGTGCTACTGCACTATCAAAATTCCCTGCAATTAAAGGCAACTTTGTAATATTATAAAAGCATGCTGTGCATATGCAATGTGTAAACCTGTGCGTATCCAAAGATCTGGTCCTATGCGAGTCATCAGGATGGCTGTCTGTAACTTCTGTTGATCAGTGGGTCACTCTAGAAGGGAAAGGGTATGTTACTTGAAGTAAGAATTGCAGCCTTGTGTTTATGCTATAGGTAAGAGACTTTCTAGATGGAAATTTGTAAGTAGGATACTGTCACCATGTGTCTGCCTCAGTCTAGTGGTGTGTTTGTGGCACTGCACTCGGGTTGTCTGTTCTCATGTTGAGTGTTGAGCACACTTGGGGAGCAAATGGTATCTACAGTATAACTTCTTCATATCCAGTAGCACGTGGCAGGTGTCCGTTACGACCAAAACACTGGTGCTTTATTTTAGGTATTGAAGGAATGTACACGCTTCTGTTTCTAGTTTTATCGGGTGAGAAAAGTGGATTTAAAAACAGTGTTGCTGTCTGGGACGGTGTTTGACATCCTTGGCCTTCTGACTAAGATAAATGTGTTATATGATTCTTTGAATATAGCACAGCCTTGTTTTGAAACTTGTATTAATGGCTTGTTGGAAGTAGAAGCTTGTTCCTTCCTATCTATGCTTTAACCTGACACTAGTGCTCGTTCAGGATGTGCCAACCTCACCTCCTGAGCAAAAAATGGTTGATAATGGAATACCAGGTAGGGGAGGGAGGAAAAACAGCCCAAGTATAATACTTACAATTCTGATTTCCTAAAATCCCACAGTCTGCAGTTCAGAGACTGCAGATGTGTCAATAATGGACTTCTGTGACTTTTTCTGCTTTGTTTTGCTCTGTTGCTTTTCATTAAAACTTCATTTCCACAAGTTTTTTTGTTTTTTTTTTTTTCTCTCTAAAGCACACATAATGATTTAAATGGACAAGATATTAGGGCGGTTTCTTTGGCTTTTCCTGATTTAATGATATTAGCAGTGTGGGAAGAGATGGGAAAAGTCCTCTCACCTGCCCTTGTTCCACCAAACTTTCGCTGTTTTCCAGCCATGCAGAAAAGAGGGAAGGAGTTTTAAAGCAAGATATCCCAAAATTTCTCTGTAAATGGGTCATGTAGATCTTAAATCTCTACCTAAAGAGTTTTGAAAAGGGAAACAAGATTTAGCTCTTTGTTTTCCCAGTGCTGATTTTGTTAAAACTCCCATCCTGCTGTTTGTGGTCTGCTCACGCAGTTGCGAATGCTGCTCCAGTCCCAGAAACAAACAGTGCTGGTCTTATGCTGGTCTTATGGTCTTCTCAACTGCAGTGCCCTGTTCCCTAGTGACTGCTATCTTGGGCTCCTGGTATTGATACGGCCTTTCCTCAGTGCTTGAGGAATATTATTTATGACAGAGTCATAGAATTACAGCTTTTGTGTTAGGTTATTGCGTGACTTTGTAATACGACCTTCTGAGCGATTGGGTAACAAGTCAGGGGGCTGGGAGAACTTAAGTTGCATTTACTCTGCTGCGTCTGAAATTATATGTGTTTGCACTGTGTGAGAATTCAGGAGTCAGTTGGGACTGTGCTATAAATAGGCTCCCAGAATCTGGGCCCAGGACTGCGTTCTGTGCTTGTCTGAGACCTGGCTCAACATTCCTGACAGCGTATGGCTGCTCTTTGAAAACCTCCTGTTAGACATGCCTCTTCTTAATAGTTTTAGGTCAGGCTGTTGTTGATCAGTGGTCCCCTGTGACTCGGAAGAGCTGATCGGTTTTCTATACAGAAAGTGTGACTTTTTGCAACTGCAAGTACTGAGTGATCTGACTTGTCTGGAAAAGGAAATGTGAACAACTGGGAGTGCAGCTGGAGGCTTACCAACAGGCAGAGTGCTTTGGTGCAAAGCAGATTAGCAGCTGGAGGAACACAGGGAAGCTGCTTGTCAGATAGGTGCAAGAGAGGGAAGGAAGGCTGAGGTGGGTGGGAGAGGCCTATCTTTCTCTCCATGTATGCTGTATGCTTAGTGAACTGCTAGCCAAGAGTTTTGGGAGGAGAAAAAAACATTGCAGGATCTAGATTGGAATTGAATGACATACAGGTAGGCTACATGGTGTGCTATTGA